GCAGGCAGCAGGCACCCGGGAAGGGTGTGAAGTGCGCCGGCCCTCGGGCCTGCCACCACCACACAGTCAACAAACATCATGCCACAGAGAAGCACTAACACAATAGGCCCACCTGGAGATGTGCATGAACCATCCCTACATGGAGAAACCTCTGGGAAAATATGCCACATGGTGGGTCTCCCTTGGCCCTGCCCTTGAGAGCCAGAAAGTTCTGGAGTCAGCGGAGGAGCAGCTGATGAACAAGGACTCGAGAACGCTGGAGTGCCGATGCCCGACGACTCAGAGGTCGAGCTGACTGGGGACGCGGGAGCCATTCGGGAGCTGGAAACCAGGAGGACCTTTTGCAATACCTGGGGAGACTCCCTGGAGGCCATTCTTCCCTTGACTATGCGGGGTGTGGTGGAGGAGCAAGTGGAACTCTGGAGAGGTCTGCACTGGGACTTCGTGGATTACATGGGTGCCCAATATTCAGATTCTGAAGAATCACCTTCATGGAGAAGGTATGTGTCTAGGTTATCAGCATGGGACACTTTGCACTTGATGGTGCGGAGACTGACTAGCGGGCTGAGGACTTCATCCACATATTCCTGCCACCTGTGTTGATGGTTGGGGAGAGGACACTAAGTGGTTGTGGGATCCCAGTGTGCTGGGAGGCTAGAGAGAGCACCCCTCTGCTTTCTTAGACAAGAGGCATTGATAAAGCATACTTCCCTGCATTCCAGTTCAGTAGAGGGACAAACTATTCTTACAGATAAGTTTATTACTCAGTCAGCCCCAAATAGTAGAAAAAAGCTACAAAAAATGGCTTTTGCCCCAGATAGCTTACTTGAGATGTTAGTAAGAATTGCCTCCTCAGTATTTTATAGCTGTGAGGAGGAGGAGGAAGCCAAGGAGAGAAAACAAAGAGACCGAGAAAAAACGGCTGCCTTTGTTGCAGCACTAAGAGAAACAGACCCTAAGTCTGATTCTTGGGGTCCCAAGAAGAACTCATCAACTACATTCATCTGCTACTACTGTCAAAAGCCAGGACACCTCAAGAGGTACTGCCCTAAGAAGCCCCCTGGGCCATGCCCTGACTGTAAAGGTGACCATTAGAGGTCGGACTGCCCTCTGAAGCGAAGGCCCCAGAACTCAAACCCTCTCCTACCAGCTGGTCCAAAAGGAATGAAGGGGCCCAGGGCATACTCTGCCTTCTCCCTCTGGCCAGACTGTTATCTTCAAGGAGAAGCCCCATGTAATCATGACTAGAGAAGAAAAAGTAAACAGCCTATTGCTGGACACTGGTGCTAGTCTCTCGGTCTTTCCTTTCAATCCTGGCCTTCCTTCCAGCCATCATACCTCAGTGAAAAGAGTCACTGATGAGGAGGTAATATGCTATTTTTCACAACCCTTAGGCTGTAACTACTTGTTAGATCTTTCTTGCATATCTTTATTTTCCTGAGAAACCACTTTGCAAATACCAACATGTATTACAGCAGCCATTGATAATTTCCTACCAATCTGTCCATAACTCTGTAATGTTTCTATTGTTCCCATGCAGTTTTGTAAATGGATGTATGTTTATTACTATGTGTTTTGAACAACAACCATTGAGAATAGTCAATGATTATTTAATTGATCACTCATGTATAGCTGTATTTGTTTGCCCTAGAAACCACTTTGAAGAAACCAAAGTATAGTACAACAACCACTGATAATTTCCTACCATTTTTGTCTGTAACTCATTATTGTTTGTCTGTTTGTTTTCCTGAGAAACTATCTTGAAGATTCCAATAGGTAAAGTAACAACCACTGATAATGTCTTACTACTTTGTCTCTAATTCATTGAATGCCCTTATTGCTATGTTGTCCTTCTTTTGCTCTTTTAAATTAAAAAAAAAAAAAAAAAACACCAAACCACAAAAAACCATTTCTGTGGTCACTCATTCACTTTCCAAATTTGGCCTTCTTTATGAGAAGATTAGAACTCAACTGGAAAACAGATGTTGTTCTTGCTTCTGAGCATGCTCCAAATCTATCTTTTCCTCAGGACCTGGCTTTATTCTTTGCTGATAGAAAAGTTTGATGAGAAAAAAAGTTGAAGAATAGATCCCATGTGTCTACTAACATATATTTCAGGCAAATAGCACCCTAGATTGACCATGTTAGACTACATTTTTCACAGTTCTTGGAAGGATGTCTGCCATGAAAATACCTTCCTTTTTCTAACATCTGATTGGTGATTTCCTCAAACATATCTGAGAGTGTTTTAAAGCATGGGCTATAGAACCAGAAGGCCTCATTTTAAATCTTCGCTCCACCAATTAATAGTTAGTGATCTCTATGAGCTCTTGTTTATTTATTTGCAAAAGAGAAACAAAAATTTCTCAAAAATTGCTATCCTCAAAAACTAGTCTTTAAATTAAATTGACTGATATATATAAAGTACTTAGAATAGTGCCTGGTATATAGTAAGTTTATGTAAGGGTTTGTTAGTACAGTTACTATTTTTGTTTGTTCATTTGTTTTTGAGACAGGGTCTTGCTATGCAGTTTAGACTGGCCTTGAGCTCACTTTGTAGCCCAGGCTGGTCTCGAACTTACCATGGTCCTCCTGCTACAGCTTCCTGAGTGCTGGGATTACAGGCGTGCACCCCCATGCCCGGCTACAGTTATTATTTGTAGATTTTCATTATTCTATGAGCATGAAATGTTGCATACAAATTCAACATAATTTAAGAAGGAGGCTTATTTCTCTTTTACCTGTTTTGTGACACTTTCCTTTTTGACTCTGGTCTATGAATTTTCTTTGCCTCTTTTCAATGTTTTATTTCTATTTTTTTTTCTTAGATGGTATAGCCCCCTTCAGAAAATCTTTTCTCCTATTAATACAATTTCCTCTAACCCTTTCACTTCTTACCAGAGAACTGCTTAAGGATATGAGCTAGGATTACTCTTTATGTGTTTCTGAAGACTTACATGGAGCTAGATCCACAGTGGATGCTCAGTAGACATGTGTGAATAAAACACACTGAAAAACTAACTTGAACTTGCACCTGTAAGATTGATCACCTTAGAAAATTCTTAGAATTATAATTATTTTCCATTTACTTAGCAGTTACTACATTCCAGGCTGTGTGCTAAGGATTTTATGTAGTATGACCTGACTTAATAGCATCAGCAGTTTTTGAGGGGTAAATTCTATTAGTTTCTTCTTAAAAAGATTTTTTAAATTGATGCAACTGTATGTACTTATCATGTATTGTTTTGAAGTACATATACATTATGGAATGGCTAAATCAAACTGATTGACATATATGTTCCTTAACGCTTATTGTCATTGTGTGTACACGTGTGTTATGAGAACCGTTAAATTCTATTTTCAATAACTTCAAGAATATGATACATTGCTATCAACTATCATCACTATGCTGTAAGATAGATCTCTTGAAGTTATTCCTCCTTACTGAAGTCTTGTATTCCTAGACCGACATCTCCTCAACCTCTCAGGTTCTGATGAGACGTATTCTACTTCTGTGAGTTCAAAGTTTTTAGATTCTACATACAATGACTGTACAGTATTTGTTCCTTTGTCCTGTGTGAATTTGCTTAACATTAGTGTCTCCAGGTTCATCTATGTTGTTCCAAAGGACAAAATTTCCTTCATTTGAAAAGCTCAGTTGTGTTCCATTGTGTATATGTACATTTTCTTTATCTGTTCATTCATTGATGAACACGTAGGTTGATTCCTTGGCTATTATGAATACTGCTGCAACAAATATGGGAGCACAGATATTTCCCTGAGATGCTGATTTCATTTCCTTCAGATATATCTAGTAATGCGATTGCTAGATCTCCATTAGCCTCAATTTACAAATTAGGAAGTTGAGTTTCAGAAAATATAAATTACTTGGCCAAGGTGTCACTTCTAATGCCGAAGTATCTTTTCTCAGAAGAGCCTCTATTGATTATTGGACAACTCCTTCATTTCTTTTTGCCTCTTAATGTTTTGGTCTTCTGTTTCCTGCAAGCAAGCACATTTCCTGAACTTCCCTAGAGACTTACACATTTCAGAAGTTGCAAGTTCAACAACAAATGCCACACAGAGAGAGCATCAAAATAGGTATGACCTGCACCTATGAAGGAGATCTCACTTAACTGCATCTATGAGGGAGGTCTCACTTAACAGCAGGCCAGTTTCCCAGGGAAGGAGCCCAGAAACTGTCACCCAGTTTCTGTGTGGCCAGTCAGAAAAGCAGACCTAACATTGAAATGTATTCTGATTTTTCAAGAGTAGCTGGAAATCTTTATATATAACTTTTAAATTCCAAGCATGAATTTCAAATGTCTACAATTTTTATTTTTATTTTTATTTTTTATTTTTAAAACGTTTTTTCCATTACTGGGAATCGAACTCACGACCTTGCACTTGCCAGGCAGGCACTGTGCCGCTGAGCTGAATCCCCAGCCCCTCCAATTTTTAAAATATCCTGTTCGGACACACAAAACAGGCCCATGGGCCATATCCCATAAGGCCATTGGGCACCAGTGTGAGACCTCTTACCTGTATGCTGATTACACCTAACTTGCTGGTTTTTCTGCTCTAGAACTCAGCCCCAGGCTCAGTGACATACATAGGTATGAGCTGCGAATAGTTGACACCAGCCTAGGGGCTATGTAGATAACTCAAGATTCTTTTACAAAATTCTGGCATCCGGGTTCTAGCCCCTACTTCCATTCAATTGGCTTTCTTCTAATCTGCCTAAAGCTAAACTCCAAACTCTGAGAGGGTAACGACCTTGTCTGTTTTGTGACAGAAGCATCCCTAGGCTCTGGTATACTGCCTTCGCACACAGTAGGTATTTAGTAGCTATTTGTTAATTAACTCAGTGTTCCATCTTGCATGTCATCCATTCACCCCAAATTTAGTACATATTGCAGATCTGAATGGGTTTCTAAATCAGCTTTCTTCTAAATGTCCTCATTTCTATTAATGGCATTATTATGTTCTTATTCACACAGGCTTTGGCAGTTTGAATTATCTCCAACGTCTCTTATTTTTCCCATCCAGTCTGTCACCACGGCCAGGTAACCCTCTGTGAATGATGTTGATTGTTGTCTCTCTGTCCTTCCCTTCCCTACAGCATGCTGGCCCAAGACCCTCTTAACCTCCCACTACTGAGACTACTGCAATGGTTGCTTAACTGTCCCTCTCAGGGTTTTCCCTCCCTAATGTATTCTCTGTCTCACAGCAAATGAGGGACTTTAGCTCCCTACTGAGAAAAACATTAGGGTTCTCATTCGTAATTACTGAGTCCAGACTTAGATTTAATTGTACATAGGCCAAAAATTATTCATGCCTAGCACATCAGTCTTAATTCCTGTTATGTACCACACAAGTTCTCTGCTTTAGTCAGACTGGTTTCATTGATCGTTCTTGAAAACACCAACCTGGAGCTTTTTTTTCTTTGCTTTCAAGCTATCATATTTTCTTAGTGTCTTCCAGTCAAATACTGTAACTCTTATCCCACATTTCTGTTTTTAGTTTTTTTTGTTTGTTTGTGTTTTTTTTTTTGTGTGAAATGAATGACTGTCTTTCTTTCCTCCTTATACAAAGTTTCCTGACCTTCTGGCATACTCAGTCTATCATGCGTGTGGACCATATTCCATACACTGTTTGGTAGAAAGGCAGTACAGTACAGTACCCAAGCAGAGCCTGTGGCTGGACAGCTGATTTCAAATCTTGACTTCAAATGAACTCAAATCCTGCCTCTCACTGTCCTGGTGACTTTTGGCAAGTAACTGGATCCCTCTGTGCCTTAACGATCTTATCATTACATTAAGGATGGAAATGATGCCTATCTCACAGCATTGCTGAGAGGACTGAATGAGTTGTTTTGTGTAAAACTGTATTACCAAGGTGCTCAGTAAGTGCATTTTGAGGAATGGGATCAAATGCTTGGCTTTGGAACAGGGTGTGATGCTGCCACCCTATAATCACAGCACCCTGGGAGGCTGAGGCAGGAGGATTGCAAGTGCTCAAGCCCAGCTCTGGCAACTTAGTGAGACCTTGTCTCAAAATAAAAATAAAAATGGGGTGGTGATGTAGCTATCCCAATGCAAAGACCTTAAGTGGAAACCCTACTACTGTAAAACAAACAGATAAACAAACAAACCCTTCCCATTTACTTTTTCCCACATGTAAATAAATAGAAAAGTATCCTTTTGATATTTTAAATCAGTAGTGTCCCAATTTTCCCACACAGCCACCCCACCCTGCATTACAGGGCATCGTGATTTGTTTCAGAGTGGCAGGTGGGGAGTATGAAAAGAGGCCGCTGGTTCTGTGGTGTGCTGGTGTGTGGAGAAATACTAAGGGTGGAAGAAATCTCTCAGAATAATGTGTTCTAACTCTTGCTCCAAAGACTTTTAGTTTTTTCGCTTACTGGATGATCACAGTCCCTTGTCAGAAGTGAAAAGACAGGCTAGATTAAGAGGAAAGGGAGTAGAGTAAATGAGATGTAGAAAGCCAACTAATTGTCATGGGAGAAAGCAAATCAGAAGCTGGAAACTGACTTAGGAACAATAAAGGTATGAGATTAAAAATGAATAAGAGATGGCGCCATACAAAATAAATTTGATTTTTCAAGGCAGGAAACTGTGACTCATTTAGTCTTTGAGAAGCAGAATATTACCCAAAACAGTAAAAATAATGAGTACAGAAGGGTATATGATATGGCCAGCTGCGGGAATTTCTAGGCTGGCTTCTGTGCTAATTATTAAGTATCCCAGCTCTCATTCTATATGCAAACTACACATCCATAAACCTCTCTGTAGCAGGACGAGACATAGGAAGATATTCAAATACCAAAGTAACTATGGAAATGCGAGGAACAAAGAAAAACTCTTGAAAGTCTCTGGGTAAAGATAAAAGAAACACAGAATAAAGAAGATCTCACAGCAGGGCCTTGTGACAGATCTCCAAATCAGGAAGTCAGGGAAGATGAAGTGGAACAGAGCCAAATCTCCACATCCGGGGAGATGGTCCATAGATTTCAACTACCCAGTTAACTTTCAGTTAACTCACTCAGGAGAACAGAACTGGAAGCACATAAAACATAAGTTTAATTCTCTCAGTAAATGATGCGGAAAAGAGGAGCAAGAATTTTGAAACTGGGCAGACATTTTAAGGAAGATTTTATAGACTACTTCAGTATCTCAACTTGAGAAAGAACAATTCTGGATTAGCCAAATTCTAGGACTGAAAATTATTTCCAAATGTTAGAAAACCAAACTCGAACTTACCTCATATATATATATAGAGACAGATAGATAGATAGATAGATAGAGACGGAGAGAGCTACACTAAACAAATTGTTTGAATGAAGATTATAAACTGTACCAAACCAAATAAAAGACAATAGACCTCTATGTTTGGGTGATGTATACCTTAAATTTTTCTACGTAACAAACATACAAATTTAAGGGTCTAAATTTGGACCCTCCAAATTTAAGGGTCTTTACATGGTTTCTTTTCTTCTTCTTCTTCTTTTTTTTTTTCCTGTCTGTTCATGTGTTTCTCAAAGGTTAGGGCTAGAATTTACTCAGTTATTTCCTCCCCATTTGGTCAAATCAAGTGTCAATGTCAGCTTAGATTTAGTGGGTGGGGAAATTGATTTTTCCTCTTAGTGGAAGATATGCAGAGAATTTTTGTACATGGCCATTTTGATTTTATTTTATAATTTAGGCTCAATTACAAAATAAACAACAGACATGAAAGAATATAATTTAAATAAAAACTGCTAAATTTTCTGCAAAGTATTATTATTTGTGTAGCCAAACAATTGTTCTTTTCCTCCTTTTCCAGTGTGGTCTTGGCGTATGTCCTCATGAGGAAATTCGGGATGATTCTAGCATCCTGGGTCCATTGGCAGGGTGTTTGAGATGCTGGCTATGCTACTTCCTTTTAGCTCTTTGAATTCAATATCTCAGGTGTGTGTCTGCTACCAATTCAGCGACATTTAAAGTATACTGAATTTCTGAAAGATTTTTCTCTGTGCCATAAATCTTGTGATAATATTTGTCGTTAGCTCAAGCACTGACTGATCCACTGCTCAAAAAAAATCACACTTCAAATCAGTAACACAGTTTTATCTCCTTAAATCTTGGTACCAGAGAGCTTAAAGAGAAATAGTAAAGCACACATAAAAAATTCAGCTATCTTGTTCATGCAGTTCTGTGAAACCCTCACAAGAACTCAACAGTGATGATGTACTGAGGGATCAGCTATTGTTTGTAAGAAACATCTTGGTGGTTCCACAAAACATGGTTCCTCTTTAAGGAGCGTATGCACAAAATGTCTCTCCTGACCCTGCCCTGATGACCTCTTCACATTAGATATCTCTATCTCTAGGCCCATGACTAACTGGTTCAGAAGTGTCACCTGACCTGAGTTAGGCCAATCAGTTTGTCTCTTATTAACTGGAAATAGTGCAGGAAGAGAAACAGGGTTGTTAGTAGCTGAAATATATTGCCGTATTCTTGAAAGAAGGCCTATAACTTCTTACGGAGGCAATGTCCTTGTTCAAACCCACCCTCCTCTTTTATTTTTTCAGTGCTCAGGATAGACCCCAGGGCCTCCCACATACTAGGCGAGTTTTCTGTCACTGAGCCATACCTACAGTTCTTCCTACACTTTTTGAACCTTTGTTTAGTTCTTACTGCCAGTATTCTTTCAATACATTTTCTGTTTTTGCTCATATGACTACAATTAATGGCTGCTGTTATCAAAAGAAACTTAGCTGGCAGAGGAGAGCTAGCTACGCGTGGGATTTCACTCATTCTTTCATTTGACAGTCATTTATGGGGACCTGTAACACATCAGCCAAAGAGCTAGGCATGCAAGTAAGAGGAGGTGCTGTGGAGAGATAGTGCTGCAAACGTGTAATTACACTAAATTGTGAGAACATTCTAGTGGGGATGCTTGCAGAGTGATGTGGGAGTACAGATAAGGGTATGAGTGAACTCTGGGTAGGCTCCAGAGCTGGGGTTAATCAGCTTGGACAAGGATATAAACTAAAGACTAATCCAAAACTACGCAGAATATTCATGCCACCTCATTACATTGCAGTGGCAGCGAATGAAGAATTTCTGCACAGAGACTGAAGACCAGCTGTTCTCAATATTGACTCGGCTCTGCAGAGTGGAAACTGATTTGAATAGCATCATGAGAGACTTAGATTACAGATGAGAGAATTTTCTGACAGTGAGTGTTGCTAATGTTGGGAGGTTGTAGAATCTTTTCCTCTGGACATTTTAAATTTTCATTTTTTATTTTAAAGAATAAAAGAAGGATAACATAATAATAGGGGGGACTTAGCAAATTACAGACAAAATGGTAGGAAATTATCAATGGTTATCGTTTTACATATTATTATCTACAAAATAGTTTCTCAGGAAAACAAATAGACAAATAATAGTGAGTTAGAGACAAAAGAGGTAAGAGATTATCAAGAGTTGTTGTGCTATACTTTGGTATCTTCAAAGTGGCTTCTAAAGAAAATAAATAGAGCTATACATGAGTGACCTACTGAAAAATCATTAACTATTCTCAATGGTTGTTGTAGGAAACACATAATAATAAACATACATTATGAAATAGGATAGGAACAATACAAACAACACAGTTATGGATAGATTAGTAGGAAAATATCAATGGCTGCTGTAATACGTGGTGGTATCTTCAAAGTGGTTTCTCAGGAAGACAGAGATATGCAAGAAGGATCTAATAAGTAGTTACAGCCTAAGGGTTGTCAAAAATAGCATATTACCTCCTCACCAGTGACTCCTTTCACTGAGGTATGATGGCTGGAAGGAAGGCCAGGATTGAAAAGAAGGACCGAGAGACTTGCACCTGTGACTAGCAACAGGCTGTTTTCTTGTTCCTCCATAGTCATGATTACCCAGGACTCCTTGATGGAGATGACGGTCTGGCCAGAGGGAGAAGGCAGACCATGCCCCAAGCCCTCTCATTCCTGTTGGACTAACTGGTAGCATGGGTCTGAGCTCTGGGGCCTCCACCTCAGAGGGCAGACTGATCTCCAGTGGTCTCCTTTGCATCCAGGGCATGGCCCATGGGGCCTCTTAGGGCAGTTCCTCTTGAGGTAGCCTGGCTTTTAACAGTGGTAGCAGATGAATGCAGTTGTCGAGTTCTTCTTGGAGCCCCGGGAATCAGACCTGGGATCTGTTTCTCTTAGTGGTGCAGCAAAAGCAGCTTCTTTTTCTCAGTCTCTTTGTTTTCTTTCCTTGGCCTCCTCCTCATTATGGCTATAGAATACTGAGGAGGCAATTCTTACTAACATCTCAAGTGAGCTATCTGGGCATTTTAAAAATAACATAGCTCTTCATCTGCCTGAGGTGACTTTATTGTCATGCCATCTAATGTAGAGAGGTAGAAGATAACCACTCAAGGTCTTTGCTAGTTTGGATTTTTTTTTTTTTATAACACAGTCATTTAAAAAGACTTTGTAGAAAGAGCAGTTTTAGCTTCTCAGCAAAACTGAGACAAAGGTATAGAGGTTTCCTATACCCTTCTACCCCTGCACACAGATTCCACCATTATCAGCATCTCACAGAATGTGTTCCTCTCACAACTGGCGAACCTACCTGGCATATCATTTTCTCTCAAAGTTCATAGTTTAAAGTTTACTCTTAGTGTGTTGTATATCCTCTGGGCTTTTATGAATCTATAATGACATGTACCCACTATTATAGTATCATGCAGGAGTTTTGTTGCTCTAAAATTATCCATATTCAACATATTCATTCCTCTTGCCCCTCCCCCAATACTTGGTAACTACTAATCCTTTTACTGTCTCCACAATAAATGTCACATAGTTGAAAAAAAAACAGTACTTAACTGTTTAGATTGGCTTCTTATGTGTAGTAATAAGCACTTAAATTTCATCTATGTCTTTTCATGGACTGATAGCTCTTTTATTTTTAGCGTTGAATAATATTCCATTGTCTGGATGTGCTACAATTAGTTCATTTACCAACTAAAGGACATCTTCATTGATTCTAAGCTTTAGCAATTGTGAATAAAGTTGCTATAAACATCTGTATGAAGGATTTTTTTCATGGACATGTTTTCTTTTTTATTTTTTTTAAGAGTAGGAAATTTTACTGGGGAAAAGGTATGGGAAATAGGAATATTCCTGAGAGGAAGGAGGAGTCCCTAATGTGGGTTGTTACAGACATGTTTGCAATTCCTTTGCAACACTCATTTTTAAAGAAAACTATCAAACTGATGATAAAATTAAGAACAGAGAGGTAATAAAATGGGAAAATAAACTATCAATTCCTTTTGGGGTGAGCATGAGACAAAAAGATCAAGACATTATTTTAGACATTATTTTTAAGGCACATGGTCCATTGGTTGCTTTAGCAGTTTCTTGATGGGCACTCAATTGGTTGCCAACTAATAAAGGGTTCTACCTTTCCTTCCTAACCTCTGGTCCTTTAGCTTTTCTTAATTCACTTTACAACCAATCTCGTCTTATAAAATATTTTGTGTATGTTTATAAAGGTGTAGAATAAAAGAATAAAGTAAACATTAAGTATTTGCAACATTCAGAACTCAAATTTGTCTTTTTAAAAGTTAGATACATTTTACTTCTTTTTTAGGGAGGTGCAGAGCCTTGCTGTGCAATCCAGGCTGGCCTTGAAGCCACTACGGTGTGCTGCCCTTGATCCTCCTGGCTCAGCTTCCCGAGTGTTGGAAGTACAAGCGTGCACCACCATACATGGTTACTTCTATTTTTTGAATTTTGTTTTCTTCCATATAATTGATTTCATTTGTATTTTTTCATATGTTGATGTATTCCCTACATCTAATAGCACTTCAGCACATTCTGTGAGTCTATAGATTTTAATAAGTGTAATGAATGGGGAGGGTAGAATGGAGTGGACAGACAGATGCTCTGGGGACATCTGTGGTGGGCTGAAACCATTACCTCTAAATCTACTCTCTGGGGCCTCCTCATGCTGTTCTCAAAGACAGATCCTTTCCTCGCCTCCTCTGCCCTCCCTTTTCTTCCTTTCTCTTAAAGAGACTATCATGAGTTTAAAATGAACATCAATGCATGTATTCAGAGCATATTAACTCTAGTCGGGCTGAAGATAAAATATATGACTGGAAATTAAAAATAGAACATTTAGTTAGGTAAAAAAAAATTGAATCAAGCACAGGAATGCATGCTGTGATTTCAGCTGCTCTAGAGGCTAAAGCAGAGGAATCACAAATTGAGCCAATCTGGGCAGTTTAGTGAGACCCTGTCACAAAATAAAAAAATAGGAAGAACAGAGGCTATAGATCAGGGATAGAGCATCCCTGGTTCAATACCCAGTATCTCAAAAGAAAAAAAAGTTAGATAACATTTTGTACAATGTGCCTTGAAGTCAGATGACCATGGACTGAAATCTCTGAAACTGGAATCCAAAATAACCTTTTCTTCTATAAATTGCATATGTCAGGTATTTTGTCCTAGCAGTAGAAAATCTGTGTATACACTATGTGTAGATAAACCAGGGTAATTAGCGTTTCCATTTTCTCAAGCATTTAGTTATTTGTGTGTGTTTGTGTGTATGTTAGGAATGTTTCAGTTTCTCTCTTCTAGTTCTGTTGCTTGTTTGTTTTTTGAGACAGGGTCTCACTATGCAGGTCCAGGCTGGCCTTGTGAACTTGAACTTATTGGGGGGCCCAGGCTGGCCTTGAATTAGTGGCAATCTTCCTGCTTTAGCATACCCAGTGCTGAAATTACAGGCATGATGCCCAGCTCTCTTCTAGCACTTTCTAAAATGTATAATAAGTTAGTAGGAACTATAGTCACCCCTACCTTTAATACATTAAACTTTTTACCCATCCTGTGCCTCACAATATTTATCTAGTCCCTCTTTTCTTCCTGTGGTAAAAGAATTCAGGGATAATTTTTCAGTGCCTAGGTAATACCTTCTTTTGGGATGAGAACACTGCTGAGAAAGGTCTTCTTTTTATACAGATTATAAAAGGTTAAAAGAAAGGTTACTGTGTGTCTTGATTTGGAATCTCCTCAGGAGAGTTTGTCTTGTAATCCTTTTTTGCCAGGTCATATTTTTCACTAGAAATATGAAGGGTCAGCTGAACTCCAGAGTTTTTGACTTTTCTTATACAGCTCTTGGAATTACCAGCTCAATGATATCTCTATTTAGTGACATTTAAAAGGAAAGGATATCTCCTCTGTAGTGTTTCTAAGATAAACAAAAAACATACACATCTCCCTTCCCCGTTTTTCTTTGAGGTGATTTACAAAGTTAGAATCTGGCAGCTGCTGGAAAGGAAGGCTTTTCTTGTTTAATATTCTACTCGGGACTGAGCTTCCCACTGGACTTTGCACTCTGAGCATCTAGACTCTGGTACCCTGATAGTTGATCTTATGAAATAATTTAAGTTGAAAAAATTTGCAAAGTTATGATTTTTTCATAATCTTTTAAAAAATAAAATAAGTTTTAACTAAAGAGCTGCAAAAGCTATAATATACCCTACGGTGTAGCAGAATGGCCCAGCTTATTATACTTTCAAGTGACAATGAGGGTATCTTTTATTTTTTGGACAAAGATCAGGTATATAGTATTGTCCAAAACCTGAAGAGGTGCTGTTTGTTTCAAGTGGGATAGAGGGACTTTTAGCAGTTCCTTTGATGGCATATACTTAGTGAAGAACACTCAAAGTAGTCAGATATCCATTTATATGACCCACACAGGCACAGCAGAGCTAGGTTTTATTCAGTGATCAAGAGGGACTGTCAGATGTGTTGGGAATAACAGACCAGACCAATACTTTAGAAGAAGTGCTATTCAGTGCTGTTGGCAGTGCTTTTTTTAATGCTATGTATTCAGAATGTATGTTTATGTAAATTCAGTTTTATTTTTTCCACAGTGCTATGAAACTAATGAAGCTTAATGTCAGGATCCCTCATGGCATGGATCTTTCAGTGTGTTCATGTACTCATGTGTATATGTGAAATTTGAGAAAGTTGCATAATTATAACTTGTTAAGAGTGCTAGGTCATTCTCATTTGACGTCCTGTGGTGTATAATTGAATGTGTGAGCTTGGCTTGGCCATAGGGATATCTGGATATTTGGTCAGATATTATTCCGGGTGTGTCTGTGAGTGTATATTTGGTTAAGATTGACTCAAATTAGTAGCTTGAGTAAAGCAGATTGTG